TCCGTGTAGGTGACGGCGTCCCGGATCACGTTCTCCAGGAACACCTTGAGCACCCCGCGGGTCTCCTCGTAGATGAGGCCGGAGATGCGCTTGACGCCGCCGCGCCGGGCCAGCCGCCGGATGGCGGGCTTGGTGATGCCCTGGATGTTGTCGCGCAGCACTTTACGGTGGCGCTTGGCGCCGCCCTTGCCCAGGCCTTTCCCGCCTTTGCCGCGACCAGACATAGCAATCACCAAATTCCTAAACCGGCCAAGCACTACCGGCCGCGGCGCCACTCAGCCCTTTTATAGCAATGAGACGGACCTGTTTGAAAACCGCGAGCGCAGGGGCGGTAACCACCCTCAGTTCCCGCCCATTGCCTCGTTCTCCTTTGCTCGGCGCTCTGCGCACCCGGCGGGCGGGGCGCCTGAAGCAAGAGTCCGTCCCGGGTGGGGGCGGGGGAGTCACTCAAATCCTCCCAGAGTCATCAGTGCATGCGTGTGCTTGCAACACTGGCAGCCACTACGCGGGGCACCAACGCACACGCTTTCCACAAAGAAGCCTCCCATTGTCCTTCACATTTCCCGGACAGCCCCAGAAATCTTTAGTTACTACTCGCTGTTGTCCCTAGGAGACGCTTGAAATGAACTTTGAAGCTAATCATAGCCTTGTTTGCTAAGTTTCCCTGTGTCTTATCGATAGATCGATGTCTGGTTCACTAAGGAAGGCTCGCTGGGATGCAGCTGGATAGCCCTACGGGGGGGAACTCAGTAGAACGTTAAACGTTGCAAAGTCAAGTCAGGTCCAACCTCACTGGAGGCTGCGCTGAACGTTGGTAAATGCGTGTGTCCCAAAGTGATGAGAACCTTGCTCTGCTGTGAGTCTCAGGTTGGTGCTTTGAGCGTGTGCTTAGTTATGCACAGCTTAGGGCCTGCGCGGTTTCGGCCGCCGCGTTCTATGCTGCAGCCGTCGGCAGAGCCTAGGGCCAAGCTCTGGAGACAGCCAGCTGCCTTGCCGGCTCTATGACCTTGGGCAGTCTGGACTCGGGTTTTTCTTTTCAAACGTATAAGAAAGTCTAAGTTACAGAGCACTGGAGTTCAAAAGGGATAATCCATGTAAAGTCTTTACTATCTGCAAATAAACACTCGCTCAACATTATGCTCTCAGCTCCTCCCCTCAGTATTCACCCCTCTAAACCGCTGAGCCTAACAGAGCATCCTAGTTTGCACAACTTTCTTTCGCGAACTCCTTGCAATAATAAACACTGAAAGATTGAATTCATTAAGGAGTTCCAGTTGAATGGCCGAGATCTGGCTTCTCCTCCAGGGTCTGTGAGGAGGACCTAGTTCATCAAAGCTGTTTTCTGAGTTTATGGTGCATGGGGACAAATTCCTCACTGGGGTTCTTCCCTTGGAAACCGTGACAGGATGCAGGGCAACTAGGAATTTGTATATGTGCTGCCGAAGCGAGCACAACTAGTAACTTGTATAGAACAAAAATTCCATCTGTACTATCCCCCAACTGAACCTTAGCATTTCCTGCATTTATGAATACAGGCAGCAACCAGTGTGATGGGCGGGACCTGTGCTGTGTGCGAACCCCGGGCGGCTTAAGCTCTCAGTGTTTCCGATACCATTTAGACATGTCATTCCTACTACACTGTGGTAATTCTTGCTCACTAGGGCAATCTTTGACTTTAATGGACTAATAAAGAAACACATCTGTTAACACTTCAATGGTTTGGGGTTTTGATAAATTTGATAATGGTATTGTAATATAATTCTTTTCCTATGAATCCTATGTATATTATCTTAAGCACTTAAAAGCATTTTCCTTGGAAGGGTCCGATAAGCATATGCGAAGAAGTCCATGACCCAAACTGATCAAGAACCCTTCTTTGGGATCTTCAGAGCCTTGAAAGACTCTGGGTTTTGAAAATGCACAGAGAGGTAAGACTGTCAGAACAGCATACAGATCACACATCCCAGCCCCAGAAGATGGAGAACTGCCTCCAATCCCCCACTTCCGATGACATCTCCCTGCTTCTGGAGTCCCAGTCCAACACGGCCAGTTTTGGCGAGGGGGCAGAGTGAGAACAGGAGCCACCATGGCCATATCAGGAACTAGTTCTAGTTCTGGTCTATCATCCAACACCCAGCCAGACTCCCCTAGCAACTCAGCTGACTGAAGAGCAACAAATTAGGGTAGCTCAAAGGATAGGCCTTATACAACAGCTGCCTAAATGAGTTTATGACCCTGGAAGGGATGGATCAGAAAAAAAACGATCCGGGAAGGTGTTATCTGTGTGATGGACTTTGTTCATGGCGACCCGATTCAATTCCTGCCGTGCATGCACATGTATCTCCTGGACTGCATGGATGACTGGTTGATGAGACCCTTCACGTGCCCCTCTTGCATGGAGTCAGGTGATGAAGCCCTGCTTTCGTCCTACGAGACTAACTGAGCCCAGGTCTCTGGTCTGACCTCAAGTGAACCATCATCTTTGGTGGTTTTGATCTTTTGTCACTGGACCCAAAGAACCAGGGATTAGGAATTAAGATCATGCACAAAAGTTGCCTAAAAATTCCTGAATAGGCTGCAGATGTTGGAGGAAAAAAATATGTGATATTTTAGAAACTGAGGGGGGAAAGTAGGGTGGTATTTTTATGTAAAGCTTGACCCAGCGTTTAAAATTATAATTGTATTTAGATGTTGTTATGCTCCAGCGTGTAGGAATTGTGTAGTGTTACAGCAGTTGTATATGTTTAAATTGTGTGTGTTGAAGATAAGGAAAAAGATAGTGGTTGTTTTTCCTAAATGGACTAACTCTCTTTTTCCCCAGACCCAAATTTTTTTCTGAAGTTGCTGGCATTTGGATCAAGGTTTTATTAAAAGCTACATTTTATAACATGGGCACAAAAAAAGTAGTTTTAAGCTTATTGGCACAGTTCTTTTTTTTCCATTGGAAATGGATATCATTGCCTTAGGTCTTTTTAAATAGTGTATTATTATCATTGGGGCTGGCTCTATGCTTGAAAACCAGTTTATGTATAACCTGTTACAAGTGCTCTATCTGGTTGCTCTTAGGAAATGCAGAATTCAAAGTGATTTCCTAGCTTGTAAGCAAACTGAGATGCACCATCCTTTTTCTATAAAAACTGAGTTAATGTCAAGAGCCCACTCTAGTAAAGTGGGGTTTACTATTACCCTTTCCTATGTGTTTTACCTAATTATTTTGGTTGTTAATATGGTAATAATTAAAAGTCAAGGTCAATTTTACAAGCCATAAGAGACTCATAATCATAGGAAACAAACTGAGGGTTGCTGGAAGGGAGAGGGCTAAGGGGATGGGGTAACTCGGTGATGGACATTGGGGAGGGTATGTGTTGTAATGGGCACTGGGTACTATATAAGACTGACGAATCACAGAACTGTATCCCTGAAAGAAATAATACATTATATGTTAGTTAACTGAATTTACATTTTTTTTAAAAAAAAGGTAAATACAAAAAATTCCTAAAAAATAAAAAAAAAAGAAAATGTGTCTGCATTCACTAGATAGTCCATTGTGTATCTTATTATGTCTGATTTATTTTGGTTTCTTACCACATATTTCTTTTTTTTTTTTTTTTTTTTTTTTTAAAGATTTTTATTTATTGAGAGAGAGAGAGAATGGTAGAGAGAGAGCATGAGAGGGAGGAAGGTCAGAGGGAGAAGCAGACTCCCTGCTGAGCAGGGAGCCTGATGCGGGACTCGATCCCGGGACCCCAGGATCATGACCTGAGCCGAAGACAGTCGCTTAACCAACTGAGCCACCCAGGCACCCCTCTTACCACATATTTCTAAACCATAATGTTGTTTATAAATATTGATATTATTTGTTTATAAGAAATTGTATGCCTTTGTTAATGGTTTCTTTTTTTCAATTACAATATGCTAATCAAAATTTATAATTAAAGAAGTTTAACTGAGCTGTATTTTTGTTTGGTTTGCATTATTTTACTCTTATTAAAATAAGCCATATCATTTAAAAAAAAAGTCAAGGTAAATTTTAAATGTTAAGATTTCTGATTTATTGAGCTTGAATTATGCCACCATGCTTATGTAAAATGAAAGTGGCACCATGGTGAAACAGAAAAGTTGCTCAGTTGTAACAGTTTTGATTCATTCTTTCTTGAGACCTCCTTCCCTTATAGTCTGGAACCATAGCAAAAGGATACTGACTGCATCTCTTATTATTGTACTGCTAAGGTTACTGAAGTTATATAAAACACATCTCAATCTCTGTTTCCTGGAAAGGAAAGTCCTGCTGGCTGACTGACAAGTCTAAGCAGGAGAATTAAGATAAACATATTTCATGTTTCGCACACAAATGCAGAATCTGAATAACCACATGACTTCATAGTTGTGATCTCAAAGAGGGAATTTCTCCTTTATTTTTTTTCTGGCAGTTAATGTAAGAGCACTCTGAATCTCTAAGCTTCTGAAGTGTTAGTGGTAGAGATGGTTTAGTATAGAGGTAGTTTGTAATGTTTTATCCATTTAGCATGTGTTTATTTTTCCTTATGTACTCAAAGGTGACTTAATTGTTCAGCTCAGTGATATTACAGCTAAGAATCATTCATTAACAAAAGGAGAAGCAATGTCAATCTAACAAATCAGAACTGTTTATTTTATATTGAGTTGAATATTTGACTCTAACAGTTTTCTATGTACAAAACACGAATATCTTAAGGGTTCCTCATAATTGCATTGTAGGGGAATTCAATATGTCGTAAATACTTCTTAAAGATTTGACACTAGACTATAGTATCCATATGTTGGTTAATTTTCTTATGAGCCCCAGGATGGGAAGACTTAAAGATGAATTTGAGAAAAAAAAATGAGGATTAACACGTTCTGTTAAAATCTTGCTTAAGTTTTTGGTCATTAATTTATATCCACCCAATTATATAAAGCAAATTTGGAGGGGGTAAAAAAGAAAAAAATGTGCAGAGAGGAGCATTGGGAAATGCCATGAATGTTAGTATGAAAACCCCATGTTAGTAACAATAATTTAATGGAGGAGTTGAAGGGTAAATGGCAATGATTTTCTCCACTTAGCAACAGCAAAGCTTATTTCCTCTCCCTCTTAACACTTTATCTTGAAGAAATAGTGTGTCTGAGTTTTCACATTTACCTTCGGGACAGAGAAACTTTTCTAGGGATTAAGCCCCATCTCCTATTTTTACAATGAAGAGATATT